GAATCAATAAGAAAAAAACGTCCGGAAGTGTGGAAAGAAAATTCATGGATTCTGCACCATGATAATGCACCTGCGCACACGTCGTTACTAGTGAGTAATTTTTTGGCCAAAAACAATACTGTCATCATGCCTCAGCCACCGTATTCACCAGACTTGGCCCCCTGCGACTTTTTCCTCTTCCCAAAATTGAAAAGGCCCATGAAAGGACGAAGACTTGCGACGATTGAGGAGATTAAGGCTGCATCGCTGGAGGAGCTCAAGGCAATACCCAAAAGTGCATTTCAGAAGTGTTTTGACGACTGGAAAAAGCGCTGGCACAAGTGCATTGTATCAGAGAGGGATTATTTTGAAGGGGATAACATAATTTTGGATGAATAAATGAATATTTTTTTATAAAAATGAAAGTCACCTTACTTTTTGATCACACCTCGTATATACATATAGATATATAGAGGATGTATAAAAAGTACCGAGATGGAGAAATATCTCGAAAACTAAGCATTTTAGGAAAAAGTGTTTCAGATAAAAGTTGTAGGATTTCAAAAGATCTATTCACTGATCATATCCACTTGACCTTGGATGGCGTCGCCAAGGTCAGGTCAAGGTCAAACTGATTTTTGAAAATAGAACACCCTATTTTCGATGCCAGAATATAATAGCTGGTGTCAAGAGCTTTTCATAAAAGGGCTTTTAAAAATAATTATAATAATAGTACATGAGTGAAGATATACAATATAAAGGATATATGTATGAATTATAAAATATTTTAGTGTAATCATTATAAGAATGAATATGTAAGCTTATATTATTATAGTTAGTTTAGCTGTATGTTCACAGGATGCCAGGTATTGCTGGCACTATTTTCGCGTCGGTATGCTGGGCGCATTCCATAGCGATGAGCAGATCCTTCAGACTGTTCATTTCGTTCTCACTTTCACGCTTCAATTCAAGCGTGATGATCGCACCATAATCTTCTACGGGATTGAGGATCCGCATCCATCCTTCTCTCTTTCCTAGTAGTGTTTTAATAAATGCCCTACTCTTCCGGGGCCACCTGGGTCTTGATCCAGAGGGGCAAAGGTGGGCAAGTCTGCACGGGGTGGCTTGCCAGTTCAACTCCTGGAATCAGTCCTCCAATGTATACATATCAGAGATCGGACATCGAATGACTCGGCCCTAGTCTCGTAATGCTACTATGACCGAGTCTCTTTCTTCGAGGCCAATTACCATTCTCTGTTGCCAAGTTTTTTCTTCACATACACTCGACGAATTCATCCGGTCGGTAGTACGCGGTCGGTGTTGTGGACCCCCAGGAGTCAGTCCAAGCTGCCATTGTTCTAGTAGTAGTAGTATAATACGTTTATTGGCCTTACAAAAAGTCTACAGCCATCTTATAGATCTTCGCTGAATTACATTATAACATAACTTCTTATCTTATGTAGATGTCGCTGATCACCCGTAATTCTATATCCGAATTACTAGTCTATCTTAGTCTTTTTTCTCATAACTCTTTAATCTCTACTACTTTACACTTAATCTATATTATTTACAACGAGTACTATATCCTTTTGTACATGGAGTCTTACTTACTATTAACAATATAATAATTAAACGGCTTCATCCACGTACACAGGCTGAGTTTTGTGCAGGATCATACATTAATCCATATTTATTATAATATATAAAACCAAACGTTTCGGTCTGTCATCAGACCATTTTCAATAGTATTAGTCGATTTATTGGGATGATAAAAGATTATCACTAATGATAATATAATTATTAACTTCACTTATAATTTAGAGCAGACTTGTTTTCATGGAGTGCAGAGGATGAAAATTATTTTAACAGATAGGACATACTATGTTTTCTATGGTTTTACGCAGTTGACGAATGTTATATATGATATTTCGAAAATTATAATTTAATTATTGGACAGCGATATACAGGGTGGACCATCTGAAGTGATCCAGTCAAATATCTCGAAAACTAGTAGGGATAGAGAAAAATGTTTCGTATGAAAAGTTT